AAAGTCTTCTGTGCTCAGAAACTTCCATTAAGGAGAAATAGTTTCCTCCTGCAACTGCATTTTCTCCTTTATGTAGTGGCTTTTTTAGTTTTTAGAATTAGCTTAAATGTATGGCATCCTTTTATTAGAAACAATCACTTCAATTAATATGAATACAATAAACTATTATCACACTTTATTTTGATGGTCAGTTTGTTGAATTGAAGTTATATTGCATGCCAACTAACTCTCATTAGATTATAGGCAGTTAAATTGGGGTTGGGGTTACAGGCCCGTAGCCAGCCTGGTGAAAGGAGTGGTTCTTTTTTGCAAAAAAAAGTGGACCTATTTGCAGTTATACACCTCAGTTTCTATTTCACTATAAGATTTAAATACTGCATTTTAGTGATTTTTTTTATTTATTTATTTTTGCTGGATTAGCTAGTCAGATGTCATCATAATCACACTTTTTGATGTACTAAAAATATTTCCTAAAAAAATTGCAATAAAACAAATTAAAACAAGACTAATTTTTAAAATACAAATTTATTAGATCATGTATCATTAGGAAAAAATAGCAATCTGTTAAAGTTTTAAAGTACAACAAAAAACTGTAGCACACTATCATTTATTAGACAGAAAACAAACTGGCCAGCACATTCAATTGTCCTCAGTCACAATTTGGCAATATTGACAAAAATCAATAAAAATATAATGAAAACATAATAATAAAACAATAAAAATTAATTCTTCAGATTTTTTCTAGTTTCTTTGGTAAAATAAAAAGTACATTTGAAAATTCCTGGATATCAACAATAGCCAAAATATATTTAAATTAGTTTAATATGGTCTGCTTCTGCTGCTTCACATCTTTTTATTGCTCATTTTTATTTCAGAAATAAGGTCCAAGACTTAGAACAAAATTACCTGTAAAATGTTTTCTCTGTTTAAAAACAATACAGTAGTGAAAGAAGACCTCTCTTACATAAGATTATTGTGCCACCGAAGCAACAGCCGACAGAGGATTGGTCTTAAAGCCTTTTTCGATGGATTATTTTCATTATTTATGATGGCATAGCAGTCAAAATAGGACAAATGAGCTCATGTATTGGACAAATTCTGGACCTTTGTCAGTGTGGGGTGGGTCTTCCGAACCCCTCTGGCTACAGGCCTAAAAAGTTAGAACATATATCATTGGTCAGCAGGGACGGACTGGGACAAAAATTCAGCCTTGGCACTATAGCCACACCAGCCTACATTACCATACGTACTGTTTGTTTGACATTCTTGCCAGATTTTGATTATCTCCGCGTAACCTTTGATTGAGTCGGCCCCTCTCGAAACTATCACCGATTGGGCCAAATGCTTAACATTTACTATTATTACCATCATCTATGTCATCATAATATTCACATGTTGCACGAAATAAAAGCTGCCTGCATGTAAAAACAATACATATAAAAAATAATAATAAAATAAAAAATAAAAACAAAAAACTGACCGGCCCACATTTAAAAAAAATGGTCCGGCCCTTCTGGCATTTGCCAGAATTGCCAGATGGCCAGTCCGCCCCTGTTGGTCAGAGCATTGTGTCCTAGCCGGGCTCACTTTCTTTTATAATGTCCCGCATCTTAATTATATTCATCTGTCTCCATAATCTACTGCATCCCCTTAATATTACACAGCACAAAAAATGTAAAAATATATATTCAGTATATTTAATATGTTTTTGTCCACAGCCGACCGCAACTTGCCGTGACGGAAATTCCCGAGCCTGTGTGCTCCAATCATAGTGCTCCAATCAGGTTCGCTCTCTTCACCATGACAACGAGACTTACAGCAGTGATGTCACATTGTAAACATTTGCATCTGCGTCCCTTTAAAGCTCGTCGGTTCTCTTAAGCAGGTCGCACACCAGAAGCGCCGCTCGGCGCCGCGACACGGCGCGTACATGACAGTTTAAGGTATCACACACCAGACGCGCACATTCGAATGATATTTAACATGAAACTAATCAGATGGCGCTCTGTGGCGCGGCTGAAAAATGAACTGCGTCCTGAGCCGTCGCCGGGCGCCGCCGACAGCCGCCGACTTGCGGCGCCGGTGTGTGTATCCTGATAGAAACCTATGTTTAGAATTCTAAAATACATGGCGCTGCGTGGCGCTGCGCGGCGCGCCGCCGAGCGCCGCTTCTGGTGTGCGACCTGCTTCAGTGTTGTCAGTTCACTCGGTGTTGCTGTTTGTACTTGACCAAGGTGAGTTTAATACCGACGGTACGAGTGAAGCTTCACTCGGGCGCGTCTGTGCTGCGGTTCCTTACCTGCGGTTTGCGTACATAAACGAAATGTTGCGAAGAATATTACGTGTTTCTTGCTCGAAATTTGCCGCCAAGCAACATTCCAGTGAACACTGGCACAGACTGGTGCCCGGTTAGCTTGTGCACTCCCTGGGGCGAGGCGGCTTGTGAACCCTAGGCAGGGAGCAATACAAGTCCTAAGGACCCTCAGGGAAATACGGAAGACCGGTAACGCTGCGAGGGTTATGGTGGGTGGGAGCAGCGAGGCCCACTCATCGTCTATTTTAAACTATGGTTTCAAACTTTAGTTTACTATAGTTTAAAATAGAAACCATGGTAACTGTAATGATTTAACTGTATGTCTGACTGTTGTAATGTTTTGCTTTGTTTTTCAGCAGAGCTGAAGACAATGAAGACAACCGTTGAAGACAACCGCGGGTTATATTTGTGTAATGTTTATATTGTATAATGTTTCCCTGCTGTTTTCTGAAAGTTTATCTTGTTTAGATAAGTTTGCAGGTCAAACTAAATAAACTATACTCTTTCTAAACACCTGTCTCGTGCTTTATTGGTTCTCTACAGCAATACACTGTGATATAAGTCTGTTAAATGCATTTGTATGCTACATGGTTTGACAGTAAAGTAGTCTAACAAATAAATAGTTATAATTGTACCTTCATTAGTCAACATTTGGTGTATATAATAAAAGGTTAATCAAAGATGTCCTAAGACATAATGGTAATGTTATGGTTGTTACATAACTGTATTTATTATTATTCCTTATTCCTATTATTCCTGTATTTATTATTATCTGCCTAATAAAAATGTCCTAAGACAAGAATGAGTATTGTTTTGGTCTTATATGTCAAACTACTGTAGGTTTTAGGTTGACTACAGCAGGTATAGGCTACCTATATCATGGTAGTCAGAGTTATTTTAATGACCCAAATCAAGTAAAAGGTCTCTTACTCAGGTACTTTTAGCATGCAAAAGTCAAATTTAAATATATAAAATACAATTTCCAACAACACAATTTTGTCTTTTAAAAATGATCAGTGGGTGGTGAAATTTTTTTTAATGTCAAGTCATATATATATATATATATATATATATATATTAAAGAAGTTGAACAAGTCATAATATTTAGTCATAATGCATTTTTCTATACATTTTTTTTTTTTAAATGGACTTTTTTTCTAAATCTATAATTGGTGAATTGCTCCCAGGTCAGATACATCTGAAAGGAGATTGTCCTATGTTCACATTTCTACTTTTGTTTAGTTTTTTCTTTGTCCAATGCAGTGCTGTATTTTCCTTTCTGTATCACAATAACATGATCTGGGAACAAATTACAGTACAAACAGCAAAAAATAAATAAATAAATAAAAAATTGCCACAGTTTGCATCAGAACACCCCTCCAGAGTACACTGTTATACTGACAACATGACTAGAATCTATCCGCGCATAATTCCACAGATTCTAAGCCCATCATTGATTCTGTTTATTTACTTGTGTAAATGTGTGTAAATCTATATTTATTCAGTTTTTAAATTACTTACACACACTACAGCCGATTTAGCTTTTTCAGTTCACCTATAATGAATGTCTTTGGACTCTGGGGGAAACCGGAGCACCCAGAGGAAACCCACGCCAACACGGAGTACATACAAACTCCCCACAGAAATGCCAACTGACCCAGCCGGGAGTTGAACTAGCGGCCTTCTTGCTGTGAGGCGGTCGTGCTACCCACTGTGCCACCGTGTCACCCCTCTGTCGTACTTTTCTCACTCTTTTTCCTACTGAGGAAGTCATTCCTTACAGGTTTTCTTCAAAATATCTTCTTTTGTGTTTGAAAAAAGAAGAAACTCATGATGTTTTAGACCCACTTAAGGGTGATTAAATAGTGAGAATGTTTTCAATTTTTGCATGAACTATTCCTTTAAAACTAGTACAGACCCATTAGCCTAGGGGTGTTCAAACTCAGTCCTGGAGAGCCGGTGTTCTGCTCAGTTTAGCTCCAACTTGCTTCAACACACCTGCCAGGAAGTTTCTAGTATATCTAGGAAGAGCTTGATTAGCTGGTTAGTTAAGGTGTTTTTGATTAGGGCTGAAGCTAAACTCTCCAGGACACTGGCCCTCCAGGACCAAGTTTGGATACCCCTGCATTAGCCCATGGTTGCCCAAACTCTGTCCTGGAGGGCCGGTGTCCTGCAGATTTTATCTTGCCTCAATACATTCACATTGATGTATAGCAGCATAAAAGGGCTTGATTAGCTAGCCCAGGTGTGTCTGATTGGGGTTGGAACCAAACTTTGCAGGTCACCGGCCCTCCAGGACCAAGTTTGGACACCCCTGCTTTAGCCACAAAGCATGTATCTGACAAGACATTTCCCCTGTGGAAGCTTTTGTTCTTTTGCAACGTTCGTAACTTTTGTACTTTTTATATAATCATTAATGAATGGTGTGTGGTGTTATCATTTTTGGATGAACTGTCTCTTTAAGAACAACACATGCATTACTGCTGTTTGTCCACACGAGGCTTTAGCTCCTCTCCAACCGCAGAGGACTGTGGTAAAATAAATGGAGGAAGACTGTGCATTTACTTTTTATTCTTTGGGAGGCATTGACATCATGGCAACGGCACCAAGTGTCTTCAGCTTCTAGAGAAACTGCATGACTAAACCGTGTTTTTGGTTTGACTGAAACCGCCGCGAGTCTCGTCTTCAGTAAAGTAAAGCCGCTTGTGTTTGACAGCAGACAAATATTCAGCAAAGCCAAGGAAAGACTGTCTCCAAATACGCACAGTCCTCGAAATTCTGAGGTAAACTACAGTCAGTGGTTAATATTTACTGCTCTCATATATATATAGTATAAAACTGCATAGAGGCTATATCGTGTTACTCGCTACTACTCTGCTTTATGAGTTGATGTGATTTGTTCTTGTACTGACTGAAAGCAGCGTGATTTGGTTTGGTTACTTGACAGGTGTTCAAACTTTAAGACCCTCAAAGGTGATGTCTAGATATTTGTTGTCATTTTATTTTATTCTACGTGTTTGATTGTATAAATGTACATTTGTACTGTTTATATTTCATCTTGAAAAAATGTTGACTATGGACCTTATAATATACCAAAAACAATCTGAATTTGAATTGTGTAAACTTTAATTTATTAACAATTGCATTTTAATAAATCCGAATATTTATATGCTATTAAAATGTTTTGAATTTATTTATCTAAATATTGAGAATCTGACATTTAAGACAGCTGATTTTTTAGGTCAGAATTTTATTGACGTATTTTCAAAACTCAGAATTTTTTTTTGTTCTGAATTCATAGACTGCGGATATTGGGTTTGTAAAAATACAAGAAAAACATTAACTATTTTTTTATTGTCCTTGTTAAACCATTACTAAAAATATTGCATGGAAAGTGATTTAAAATGTCTATTAAAATGACAATATAATTAACACAGATCAAAACTGGACTGACACAGTTTCAATTTACTAGAACTTCTATTAAGCTGCTTTGACACTATCTACATTGTAAAAGTGCGCTATAGAAATAAAGATGAATTTAATTTAATCTGCTTTTAAACAAAAGATTCATTCGTGTTTGTTTCTTTTCTTGTAATTGCATTATTATTTTGAAAAGTTCATTTCACCTAATATTGCATCAAGATTACCTTTAACATTATTTAAGGCTCACGGAAGTTCATATTTGAACATTTTTAGCAGCATTGTGAAATGTCATTTTTAGAGCATTGTGAAATCTCCAGATAATTTCATACTCTGTATAATAAATATGTTTATCATATATGATCAAATATGGACAACCACAACTTTTAAGTTAATCTTTTTCAATTAAATTTAAATTATTGTAAAAATCCGCTCAATGTTCAGTTTGTCAATGTTGGGTTATGTACTTATGTTCTTGTTCTTATAATCACAAAAATAAGCCTAAAATCTTAGTTGTTTGAAAAAGACATAAAGAGCACATAATAACATTTCCAAAAGGTTTGCTTGAGAAGTATGCTTGTGTGCATTTGAGATTAGCTCCAGAAATTCTATCATTTTTAAATCCCTTTATCCATTTTTGTAATCTCTTACAGTCTCCGTGATGATTTCTCAGATCTCTCCCACTCTATACCTGAGTGGCCTGGAGGCCCTTAATCAGTCAGCACTGGAGCACAGGGGCGTCACTCTGCTGGTGAACGCCTGTGCTGAATATCCCTGTCCTGAGTATCAAGGGGTGTCCTGTGTTTGTGTGCCGGTGGAGGACCGTCCTCACGCCCCTCTGTACCAACACTTTGACCGCGTAGCAGAGCAGATCCAGCAGAATCACTCTGGGAGCTCACTGGTGTTTTGCTCGGCCGGTAGAAGTAGGTCTCCATCTCTGATCATGGCATATCTCATGAGGTTTGAGCGACTCTCGCTGCTTCAGGCTCATCACAGGGTTTTGGCGGTACGGCCCTTTGTCCGGCCGAACGCTGGGTTTTGGAGGCAATTGTTGCAGTATGAGAAGAAACTTACAGGTAGCAACAGTATAAGAATGGTGGCCACATCACTGGGCGTCCTGCCAGAGGCCATCCAGATCACACAGGACTCCTCATACTGTGTAAATGTGTATTACATTGGGACATTGTGAACTGGATATATTTAAATAGAGTTTGTGTGTTATGGAATTAAGGGTTCCAACGAATGCCAAAAAACCTATATTAATCATACAGCTTCTTTATAAATGTAATAATCATAATAATAATAATAATTCCTTACATTAATATAGCGCTTTTCTGGGCACTCAAAGCGTTTTACACACAATGGGGGGGATCTCCTCATCCCCCACCAGTGTGCAGCATCCACCTGGATGAGGCGACGGCAGCCATTTTGCGCCAGACCGCACACCACACACCAGCTGATTGGTGGAGAGGAGACAGTGATGAAGCCAATTGGAATATGGGGATGGTTAGGAGGCCATGATGGACAGAGGCCAGTGGGCAGATTTGGCCAGGATGCCGGGGTTAAACCCCTACTCTTTTCGAAGGAAATCCTGGTATTTTTAACGACCACAGAGAGTCGGGACCTCGGTTTAACGTCTCATCCGAAATGTTCGGTTATACACTCACCGGCCACTTTATTAGGTCCACCTGCATGTTAACGTAAATTTCTAATCAGCCAATCACATGGCAGCAACTCAATGCATTTAAACATGCAGACACTGCAGCATCAGAATAGGGAAGAAAGCTGATTTAAGTGACTCTGAATGTGACATGGCTGTTGGTGCAGGCGGGCTGGTCTGATTATTTCAGAAACTGCTGATCTACTGGGATTTGCACGCACAACCGTTTCTAGGGTTTACAGAGAAAATATCCAGTAAGTGACAGTTCTGTGGGCTCAAATGCCTTGTTGATGCCAGAGGAGAATGGCCAGACTGATTCCAGCTGATAGAAAGGCAACATTGACTCAAATAACCAGTCGTTACAACCAAGGTATGCAGAAGAGCTTCTCTGAACACACAACACGTTAAACCTTGAGGCAGATTGACTACGGCAGCAGAAGACAACACTGGGTGCCACTCCTGTCAGCTAAAAACAGGAAACTGAGGCTACAATTCACACAAGCTCACCAAAACTGGACAATAGAAGATTGGGAAAACGTTGCCTGGTCTGATGAGTCTCGATTTGTGCTGGCACATTCAAATGGTAGGGTTAGAATTTTGCGTCAACAACATGAAAGCATGGATTCATCCTGCTTTGTATCAACGGTTCAGACTGCTGGTGGGGGTGTAATGGTGTGGGGGATATTTTCTTGGCACACTTTGAACCCATTAGTATCAATTGAGCATTGTGATATTTAGATATATGCATAGACATATGCATTAGATGTCGCCTACCCTGTTGTTGTCTATTTGAAGGAATGCGTCAATAGAGCAAAAAATGAATATTTTTCTCAGTGAAAATAGTCAATGTATTTTGGTGCATTTAAACAAAACTGATTTATTTAACTGATATAATTCTTAAAATAATATTTTAGTCACCAAACATTTAGAAATTGAAAGAGAATACAAGTAAATTTAAGCAAAAGGTTGCAAAAAAAAAATGACAAACTACAAAATTTCGACAATTTTTAAATTCTTTGCTTCTCTTGATTTTTCCTCTTTTTTAAATTTGTATTTATAATTTTTTATAACATATAAATTTGGTTGTACTAGTTTTTGGAGCGTTATAGTAAGTTATTTTATTAGATAAACTACAGATTTGGTTTCAGTACTGACTAATCAATCTAAGGTAAATGCACAAATATTTTATTGTATAGCTTCCTATTTAAAATATCAGTTTAAAGTTGCTAAGGGCCCCCAAATCACTAAGCCCGTCCCTGTGAATTAGAGATCATGAAAATGTTTGTAGATGTGCATTATGAAAATGTGTATGATGCAGACTAACATCGGCCACTGTGTGTGTGTGTGTGTGTGTGTGTGTGTGTGTGTGTGTGTGTGTGTGTGTGTGTGTGTGTGTGTGTGTGTGTGTGTGTCCATTCAATCACTTTATAAGAGTGTAAAGTCTCCCATTCCTCATTTTAGATTTGAGTCATTGTAGTTGTTCAGCAAAATTTGTTTAGTGGCTCTAGGAGAGCAGCAGTATTAAAGAAATGTACTACCCCTTCCCTGCAGTCTTGTGGACTTCACAGACTTTCAAAGGTCAGCATTTTTATTTGTGATGTTGCAAACTCAATGGCAAATTAGCCATTTGCATAAAATGATGTTAAGTGTCAAGTCAAGTTGAGCTTCATTGTCACTCCACTACATGTGTGGACATACAGTGGAATAAAATGTCATGTCTCGCAGTACCATGGTGCTACAAAAATAAACAATACGAACACAACGCTGGACATAAGAGTTATTTTTACACTTATACATAACTAACATACTGGTAGTAGTTAACTATAGACATAACTTAAGACTATAGACATAACTTACTATTCAAGTACTTTGCGAAAAACAAAATATTTAGCAAACAAGGTATTTAAAGTTGAGGAAGTAAGTAGTGCAACATGATTTGTGGTGCTTTCACAAGTAAACATTGTTTCGAGAAAAGTGTCTGGTGCATATAGAGAGAGGAGTGTTTCCACAGGTGTTTGTTTAGCTTGCTCACCTGTGTGAAGCACACTCAGAACTGTTTTTCTAGACATGTGCAGTGATTGTAGAAATGTATTTAGTGCACAGAGAGATGAAAGAATGTGTTTTCAACAGGTGGTTTGTTTAGCTCACCTGTGTAAGGCACATTCAGAATTGCATTTACAAAAAGTAGCTTTGGGTTAAAGTATTTTACTCACTCTCAAGTGTTTCCGAACGTTATGATTAATTTTTTTCTGAACACAAAATAAGTTATTTTGAAGAATGATCCATAGTAGGTCAAAATTACTTAAAATACAAATACTATGGCAGTCGATGGTTACAGGTTTCCAACTATTTTCTAAATAACCTATTTTCTGTTTAACAGAAGAAAAGAAATTCAAACCGGCTTGTGACAAATGAAGAGTTTGAAAAAGATGACAGAATTTTCACTGTTGGGTGATTTATCCCTTGCCCACTATTACCAACTGGCTTATTACCTGCCTAACATTAAGATATTGGATGTTTATTTGTATGCTACTAACAAAATATGATTTTATTCTACATCCCTAATCTTACCTAATACCTAAATCTAACTAATATCTGTTAATAAGCAGCTAATTAATTACTAATAGCGATAATTAAACCTTAAAATACTTTTAAAAAGTGACCTAACTTTGGTTACAAGTAAATAAATGAATATATTATTATTAATATATGCATGTATGCTAGGTTAAATGTATTTATGTTCTTAGGCCAGTGTGCTGAAAGTCTATTTTCCGTGAACGCGCTCTCTTCTATAGATCATTGTCAGGGGTCAACCAGGAGTCAACAACACGCAAATACGAGAAACATTTCCGTCCCGCCGTCACAAGGCTGGGCGGAGCACACATCAACGGAGCAGCACCACCAAAACAGAAAAAATAATCCTGCTTCTTTCGATGGACTCTCAGGTATTTTTTGGATATAAAAAGTAGAGATGCCCAATAATAACACAACTTCAAAGTAGAAGCGTTTAGGTCGAACAAAGTCCATGAAACAAAAACAGGTGAGATTTTCTGTCACGTAGATGTTTTGTTAACGTTTAACGGCCTCCTGTGTCTGTAGTTTTGACTACAGTATATTCACAGGCCAGTTATTTCTAGATTTCGACACTTAAGGTAGCCTAATGTCATTTTAGCAAGTTTGTAACAATATAGTAATGAAGAGAAAAATCACTATAGTAAAATATATTATAATAAAACATTACTGTATAATATGTATAATAACTCTTTGACAATGAATATTAATATTACCTACATTATTAACCATATTAGTAATGCTAACTGCAGTGAAGTGAACTTAAAAATCTAAGAAATACTGTAGTATACTTTAGTTTTTTTTACAACAGTAAACTGCAGAGAATTGTATAAAATACCCTATAATTGAAGAAAACAACAGCACTGAGCTATTTGTTTATATTTATATACTTTATTATAGAACTGTTCTGTGAATACTAGATTATTATACATTACCACATTAATATACTGTAGGAGTGCATGTTTATTAATGCAATAATGCAATTAGTTGATTAATTTGTCGATATTTTCACACACAAGTTCACATGTCGTATTTTAGTTCTTGATTAGTGTATTTATTTGATCATTTGTAAAATAATTTTAACTTTAATTTTTACTTCAACAGTTATTAGAAGACATACCTTTATCCTACAACTTTAGTTTTGTATTTGTCTTATTTCTCATTGCCTAGTAGACAACTTCAAGACAACCGTTTCTAAGTGGACACGCCAAAGACACTTATGAGACATCATGGACCAAGACTCGGAGCGTAAGCATTGTTATTATATGGAAAGCAGGTTTTTTTTATTAAAGAATAAAAAGTGACTTGTTGCAAATAAGTATTATTTTATAGAATATTGAACAGGCTCACCTTTTAAGCAAATGATTTGATAATAGTTTGATGCAATGACAGGCTGTAGTATTATTATGTATTATAATATTATTGTAAACCAATTAATTTTCCAATAATAATAATAGATTTTATTTATAATGCATTTTTCTAAGACCCAAAGCGCTTGTAAAACTGTAAAAAACTACAAAGCACAACAATAAAGAATACAGTAAAAAACACAATGAGAATAAAAAAGAAATCACAAATTAAAAACAGTCCTAAAAAGATTTTAGTAGCTTTAGATTTTAGTATTTAGTAGCTTCTTAAAACAGTCCAAGGAACCAGCATTCCCAATGTTTGTGGGAAGAGCATTCCAAAGTTTGGGTGCATGGTAAGAGATTTCTGTTTTATTATATATATATATATATATATATATATATATATATGCTTTTTAATTAAAGTATTGGATCTTGATTTTTCCTCCAACAACTTTTGATGTTTAAAAGTTTTTAAATAGTTTAAAGTGTTATATTCTCTGGGTTGTTGTAATTTATGGTACAAAAACCTGGTAATAATCTTCCAGTATTTTTCCTGTTATTTTACAGTTATTTCTACATATTTGATTTCTTGTGCATTATATTGATTCAAACTACTAAACAGAAGCCACTTTGAGAAGCTGCAGAGTTGAATTTTAAACATCAGTGAATCAAAAAATACAGAAGCTGTTAATTAAGGGATATTTTCCACAGTGTATTTGAGATGCTTTTAGTAATTGTATAATTAATTAAATTTTTTATTATATGTGTACTTTTAGAATTATTCTAATTATGTATCATTTAGTCTCAAGCACTATTATCTTTAAGAAAAAATATTCAGTACTTGACACTTCTGGAATAACAGGATTAGGAGCTCACAGTTTCTTATTACAACATTTAAAACTTTGTGATTGTTAAATTAATATCTTTTATAATGTTTTGTTATTCTGGATTAACAATGCTAATACTAAATATTAATACTAAAAGACAAAAAAGAAAAGACTTGCATATCTGTTTGTAATAAGATTAATGTTTGAAATAGTGCTCTTTGATGTTGAACTTCCTTTCTTGAGCAGTTATCATTTCATCATCTCTCCACCACCAGGTGCTCAGTTTGTGGATGCCCACTGGAAAACTCTTGTTCAGAGAGTAATAATGGTGATGGCAATAGCAGACGAACTGCAGTCAGATGGTATGCTCGAGTGGGAGCCATACTGTAAGATCAAAGCAGCAGTTACTAACCAGCAGAAAATGAGAGAGCTTTATGAAGTACTGCAATCTGGAGGAGACCAGGTTAAATCTGCCTTTTATTCTTCTCTGGAAAAGCATGAGCCTTATCTATTAGGAGACCTTGGTAAGAGCACACTCATTGTGGTGATTTTACCATATTCACATATTTGCACATTGTTAATGTGTTCTTTTACAGGTAGCATCAAATTGATGGGAGAAAGCCTTGCAGACTGCTTAAGTGAGTATTTAATCTGAAATTGTTTGTTTAATTTGGCTAATACTGCATATTGAGTGGGGTCATGTTTTTAACACTTTCATTTTCCTTTAGTGTATAATGTTGCTTTTTCAGTCCACTTAGTAGTATTACTTGCACTGAGTACTGTCTGACCAACACAATCTCACAGCAATTGGGAACTGTTTGATTTAGTGGCTAATTCGTATGAATTTGTACGATCGAATTCGTACAATTTAGTACGACCTGCTTATCCCCCAATGACGGTTGGGTTTAGGGGTCGGGTTAGGTGCCACGCCTCCTATTTAAAATTGTACAGTTTCGTACGACTGAACTCGTACGAATTAGCCACTAAACTGGCAAAACTTTAAATACTTAAGTTTTCTCGTGAGGTCAGGCTGGTCTGACAGATTTCCGTGTGTGTGCTAAGTTCTCCAAATATATGTAAAGATTGTAAATTTTGTAAAGGAACAAAACGAAACAATAAAACTTGTGTGGTAGCAAGAAGCTGTTATTTCATTTTAGGATTTACAGCTGAAGAGACATGTAATAACAAGTGACAGAATTCCTCAGAACTTTATTGTATGCATTTAAGAGCTTCAGCGGTGAATAGATTTAAATTTAGGTCAATTTCTGACAAAGTAAATACTCTTTACCTTTCACACAGTGATAAATATCTGGAAAATTTTACGGAATGACTTGAGTTACCGTTAATTTCCAAAAAGCTCTGTTCATAAAGGCAAGAACTTTCCGGAATTTTTCTTGAAAAGATCTTTTACCAGAAATGGCCTCTAAATGGCTGTGCTTGTATTTGTAAACATAATAGGGGTCAGGCTTTTGTTGTTGGTTTGACTTTAAATTAATAATAATAATAATAATTCCATACATTTAAATAGAGCTTTACTAGACACTCAAAGCGCTTTACACATTGAAGGGAATCTCCTCATCCACCACCAATGTGCAGCATCCACCTGGATGACACAATGGCAAGCCATATTGTGCCAGACCACACACCAGCTGATTGGTGGAGAGGAGACAGAGTGATGAAACCAGTTATGATATGGGGATGGTTAGGAGGCCATGATGGACAGAGGCCAGTGGGCAAATTCGGCCAGGATGTCGGGGTTTTTAACGACCACAGAGAGTTGGGATCTCGGTTTAGCATCTCCTCTGAAAGGCAACACTCACTGAGCAGTATAGAGTCCCCTTCACTATACTGGGGCGTTAGGACCCACACAGACCACAGGTTGGCCGCCCCCTGCTGGCCTCACTAACACCACTTCCAGCAGCAACCTAGCTTTCCCATGTGGTCTCCCATCAAGGTCCTGACCGGGCGGAGCTCTGCTTAGCTTCGGTGGGCGACCGTTTTATTTCAGTGGGCAACTTTTATTTAAAGCTTTAGCATTCATGCAGCTGCTTTTGCCTCAGAGACATCCAAAGGCAGAAGCGCGAACCACAGCTAAATATTTACACATTTGACTACTACATTTGACCATTACAAATTCTTGTGAAGGATAAGTATTGTGAGCAACTTTGATGTAAACAAATCGAGAAACACTTTCGCATGTCGAGATGTTCATTTGTTTGTCAATAATATATCAATATTTTTTCCACAATTGGCATTAAGAATGAACATAGAAAGCTTATCTGTCTAAGAACTAGCAGCTAAATGTGTCTGGAAAAGTATTCAAAGGCTTTTATTTTCACACACGCAATTTTTTCTGGAAAATTGCTGGTAATTTTCTGAAAAAGTCGGTATGTGTGAAAGGGGCTTATGACTTGGGCAAGACAGAATCTGCTGACATTTTTTGCTATTTCTGCAGAGAATTTTGTAAAAAATCTGCGGATTTATGTGGAATGTTTTTTATTTAATGTTTACAATGCACATTAGAACCACTTATTTGGCAAACAAAGCAAGTCTCTCATATAAATCTACTACAAGACAGAAAATATTATTTTAAAAACTGTATTATAAAATAAATCATATTAAAATTTTCATATCAGTCAATAATTTTTCTGAAATGAATGAAAAACTGAATAAATATGCATTTACACACATTTACATAAGTAAATAAATAGACTCAATGATGGGCTAAAAATCTGCGAATTTCTGTGTGTGCAGAATCCGTGTGGGCCTACTATGACTAAACAATTGGAATTTTGTGCACCCATCAGTCAACTTTGTGTCTAATAGACGTCTAATAGATGTCTAATAGACATCTAAACATAGACCGCTTGGCTAAAAAGACTAAATTTGGGCTGTCAATGAAAACCTAATAGATGTTTAAATAGCCCAAAACTAGACATCTATTAGATTTTAGACATCTATTAGACACACAAATGTGGCATGGACATTTTTATTATATTTTTAAAATGGCATTTTTGCCCATCACAGCCCAAATCCCTGATTTCCAGTCAAGTTTATTATGCAAAAGATACACAATAGGGCTTTGAAACAAGATTATGATAAGTAAATATGTTGAGTTTAGGGATGGGCGATTACACAATTTTTTAATTCAATACGATACCGATACTTTTTGCTAAAAAATTTAATGATACTGATACTGATACCGATACCACTTATTATTTAAAATATTAATGTTGCGTGTATATATCACACACACATTACAGTACATATATTTATATATATATATACATATATATATATATATATATATACATACATACTGTAATGTGTGTGTGATATATACACGCACACACATCCATATTGTATATACACACTGTATTCACATTCATCCTTATATTTATTCTTATTCCCCTAATGGTAACGAGAGAGAAAGAGAGAGCTGATTTATTATTTCTTATAGAGAGAGAGAGAGAGAGAGAGATGTTTGCCTCTTGTCGGACAGAGGGAGACTGAGCAGAGGAACACTGGGAAACTTGTTTTTGTTCCATTTCTTAATAAGTTTCAGGGTATGTTGTAATTGATTTTAAAGGCTGCTTGTATTGTTGCTGTGTTTGACTTTCTTATCACAAATATTGCTTGTGCAATGCTTTTTCAGCTGATGAGCACCACCACACGCTGTGTAATGTCTCTGCCATCGTGTCATTCCATATTAATGCAGAAGTGTGTGACTTGCGTGTGTTGAGTACGTAAGTTATCTGAAAGGAATATGATCACTCACGTCACGTTCCACCGCAGATTGATTGGTGTAACATCCTGTATACAATGCGTCCCTGACAATCCTGTACACAGCGCTAAAAGCTAAAACATTTAGTTATGCAGAAATTATTTAAATATTGTTAAAATATCGATACTTTAAAAAAATATAGATACCAAATTAAAATCTTCTAAATATCGATACTCGAGCATCGATGTGCACATCCCTAGTTGAGTTTTTTGTCTTTAAAATAAAGTATTCACAAACCGAAATGACACTCACTGATATGCTTTACAATGGCTTATTCACAGACAAATACAAGATGTGGATCCAGAAGGAATATGAATATGTGACCGAGTATAACTCTCTGCCTGGTGAAAATGTGCTGTTGTCTGAACGCTTCACTCAACCTCTCATCATCATGAGACACAGAGTGAGACGAGAGCGAGAAGAAGAGATGTGCTCTGTCGGAGAAAGTTTCCAGCAGCTCCTCGTCTCCAGAAATAATGCGGACAAGGACAGCTCCATCCTGGATGCACTCTTCGGAGCTGATAGTAAAGGAATCAGTCCAAATTCTGTCATTCTTCAAGGAAACTCTGGGAACGGCAAATCCTTCACTGCTCAAAAGATCATGCTAGATTGGGCATCTGGAAAGCTTTGCAAAGTTGAATTTGACTGTCTGTTTCACTTGAAATGCAAAGAAGTCAACCACGTGTCTGGAGAGCAGAGTTTGACAGAGCTTTTGAGCTATAACTCCAATTTAACATCAGAGCAGATCTCGCAGATCCTGCAGAAGTCATCTGAGAAGGTTCTCATCCTCATTGATGGTTTTGATGAACTCCGGTTTTCATTTAGTGATTTTTCAGATCATCCAAAACTCAAGCATCTCTCTGAAAAAGCTCCACGTGAGGCTTCTCTGAAGGTCCTGTTGATGGGTCACATCTTGTCCAAGACCTCCCTGCTGGTCACTACTAGATCTACAGCTACAAATACCCTGGACAGTTTGCTCAAGCACCCTAAGCGTTTCACAGAAATCATGGGTTTCTCTGAGAGGGAGGTGAAGGAGTATTTCCAGAAGTTCTTCCAGGATGAGGAACTCTTCATAAAGGCTTATGAATATGTGAGATCAAATGAAACCCTGATCACCGCCTGCTCCATCCCTGTCATCTGCTGGATCATCTGCACAGTCCTGCGAGAGCGCTTCAGTGAGGGTTCAGATTTAACAAGCGGTCTGGAAACCACCACCTCCATCTATGTTGACTTTGTGTGCACTTTACTGGAGCATCACAGCCAGGGTTTGAGTCAGCCTGTGCCGACTCTCCTGAGGAGTCTGGGTCAGCTGGCAGAGAGAGGGATGCTGGACACACAAGTGCTGTTTGAAGAGAAAAGTGTGGATGAAATGGTTTCAGCAAGTCCTTTCTTGTGCAAGTTCCTCTTCAAAAGAAGAATCCGCAAGGAGACGATGTTCAGCTTCATGCATCTCAGCTTTCAGGAGTTCTTCACCGCTCTTTACTACATCTCACTAGAGGAAAGAGAGTTTCTAGACAAGCTCACAGAGCGATTTCACTCTCAAACACAAAGTTATCTCTCCTTATATTTGGATAAGGACTTTCCATTAAAGTATGGATGTCCTGAACCTCATTTCCTGCCTGTGGTTCAGTTTCTCTGTGGTCTCTCTAATAGTGAAGTCAGCCGCTCATTACAGGAGATGTACAATCTGTCTGTCCCATCCTTTGTTCAGCCACAGCTGAGAGAATGGATACTTGATATGAGCAAAAGTGGTGTGTACAGTTATTTGCCCTTCATCCTCCACTGTCTCTATGAGCTCCACGAGAAAGAGTTTGTGCAGAAAGCTATGGAAGCTTGGCTGGAGTTGGACATGTCCTGGGATCCACTGAGCAGGACAGACTGCTGGGCTTTGCTGTACTGTCTGGACTGCTGTCCTCACTTTAGAAGCTTAAAGCTCAACTTTGCAGCAGCAGAGCTGAAGATGCTGCAGGATGTGCTGTGCAGGACCCCAAAACTAGGGTGAGTGTGCTAGTCTGCTGATACCACAATAAAGAAGCATTCAGCGTGTATTGACATCTATCAGTTATTTTATGGGCTTCGTGGTGGCGCAGTGGGTGGCCTCACAGCCAGAAAGTTGCTGGTTCGAGCCTTGGCTGGGTCAGTTGGCATTTCTGTGTGGAGTTGTTCTCCTCGCGTTGGTTTCCTCCGGGTGCTCTGGTATAGATGAATTTGTATAAGCTAAATTGTCCGTAGTGTATGCATGTGTATGGGTGTTTCCCAGTGATGGATTGCAGCTGGAAGGGCATCCGGTGTGTAAAACATATGCTGGATAAGTTGTCGGTTCATTACACTGTGGTTACCCCACATTCATAAAGGGACTAAGCCAAAAATGAAAATTCTGTTATTAATTACTCATTCTCATGTCATTCCAACCTTCTCAGATCTTCATTCATCTTTTGAAAAAGAAATTAAAATATTTTAGATGAAATCTGAGAATGTACACATGCTTATTACACACACAGGGATGCGTGACTGACCGATTTGCAGTAATGATGAATGATATTTACTAATTGCTCGCTCTTAAAGGAAATGGGAGATGAGAGTCTGGATGGTTTAATGCATGTTATGCATGCCAAACACACCAATAACTCATTAAGAGGCAGCCAGTTTAGACCATGCATACTAACCATACATACTATTTTGCCTAATATCAAATTAGTAAAAGTTAAGTCGGACATACACTAAATGCTCCTGCAACATTTTAGACCCTGCACTTAGATTAGTCAAATACAGTATATAAAAATAAAAACATTTGAGCTTCACTTGTGAATTATGTAGAACAAGTGTGACACAAACAGATGATCTTGAAACTTTCACGTAAAACCTTTGCACATATTTGACGTGTTTTATATTGTTTTCATGTGTAAAGTTCATGTGAAGCTTGATTTATTTATTTATTTATTTTTTGCATAGAGGATTATGTGTGGCTTCTATTAATGCTATAGTAGTGCAACAATTATTATACAATTTTTATTATCTAAAAAAAAAAAAAAGTTTGTCTTATTCATTCATTTTCTTCTCGGCATAGTCCCTTTATTAATCAGGGGTCGCCACAGCTGAAGGAACCGCCAACTTATCCAGCATATGTTTTACACAGCGGATGCCCTTCCAGCTGCAACCCATTACTGGGAAACACCCATACACACATTCACGCACATACACTACGGATAATTTGGCTTATTCACTTCACCTATAACGCATGTCTTTGGACTTGTTGGGGAAACCGGAGCACCCAGAGGAAACCCACGCGAACAAGGGAGGAACATGCAAACTCCACACAGAAATGCCAACTGACCCAGCTTGAGCCAGCGACCTTCTTGCTGTGATGCGATTGTGCTACCCACTGCACCACTGTGCTGCCTCAAAAGTTTGTGTCTACCTGAGAAATAACTAAAGGCAGAATTACGCTATTAAATTTTTCTGTCTGAACAGATTTTAAAACATCTACAAATTCTGTTAATAGTTACAGAAAAAACTGGGCAAAACACTTAACAATTGTGCATTACGCATCACATTTTCAAATCGTTAAAAGCACTGCAATGTCTGATAGAGGTTTTTACATCATTGCTTGGAGTTGCATAACAAATGAATTAATATATAATGTACAAATATTAAAAATATATAATAATCTAGATTTTTATGTGTATATATATATACATATATATATATAAGTCACTATCGGGTTTGCGAAAGTTTAAAATAAGCTTTAGATTTGTTTGTAAGCTCACACAAAAGTCACATTAGAGTCTTTTTTAAATAAAGGAAATAAATAAATTGCACTTACAAAATATAACCCTAATATAACTTGAGTTAAAAAAAAGTTGTCTGATCAGTGTATACAGTCATTTTTAAGTGTCTTTCATTTTATTTATTTATTTATTTATTTATTAGGTTGACTGTACAAAATGTTTCAGACACAGATGTCACCGTCCTCCTTTCAGCTCTTGGAGAAGGAAAGCAACTGGGAGAACTAAAGTAAAGATCTGTGCATTTTCTGGTCTGCACTCAGATGCTGTTCCTGCTTGGACTGATGCATGTTAATATGTGACTGATAAGAATACAAATCTCTGTTGCAGGCTAAACAGCAGCTGTCTATCAGATCAAAGTGTGCAGCAGGTTCTCAAAGCTCTGCACAAACAGAAAAAAGTGGGTGGACTTCAGATTTCAGTGAAGAGCATCACAGCCGATACTGCGCTCATCCTCACAGACTTCCTGCAGAGCTGCAGCAAAGCGGAATGGGAGGAGATCAGGTATCAGAAATCTCAGGTCAACTCAACTTGATTTAGCACTTTAACCAACTGATTTTTTACATAAGTGTACTTATAAGTGTACATACTTAAGTGTACTGCAAGTCTTTATTCACTCCCATTGAATTTTAACTGTGCAAATGAATTGAAAGTCTAACAAAGACGCAGAAATTATCTTGTTTCCACATTGCAATATAAGATGGTTTCAAAACAGACTGTAAAAGCAGCTTTATGTTAAAAAATAGTAGTAATGTTAAAAACTAAAAGAATTGTGGCCACAAAGCAGCTCTGAAACAGCAATAGTGGTATTTTTCACTCAAAGTAGTTCAATGTTAATTGTTATATTTAATAAGTTGCAAACTAGGCCTACTTTAATTCAAATATTAGAAGCTCTACAGATGATAAATGCACCATCATGAAGCTCACGTAAGTGTTTATTACGTTTAGTCTGATTATTAGTTGTTCATCATTTCATCAAATTGAAAACAAACTGGGGCGAGGCAGTGGCACAGTAGGTAGTGCTGTCGCCTCACAGCAAGAAGGTCGCTGGTTCGAACCTTGGCTCAGTTGGCAATTCTATGTGGAGTTTGCATGTTCTCTCTGACTTTGCGTGGGTTTCCTCCGGGTGTTCCGGTTTCCCCCACAGTCCAAAGACATGCGGTACAGGTGAATTGGGTAGGCTAAATTGTCAGTAATGTATGAGTGTGATGTGTGTGTGGATGTTTCCCAGAGATGGGTTGCGGCTGGAAGGTCATCCGCTGCGTAAAAACTTGCTGGATAAATTGGCGGTTCATTCCGCTGTGGCGACCCCGGATTAATAAAGGGACTAAGCCAACAAGAAAATGAATGAATGAATGAATGAAAACAAACTGAATTCCTCTATAACACAGGTGTCAAACTCAGGTCCTGGAGGGCCGCAGCTCTGCACAGTGGAGCTTTAACAATAATTAAACACACCTGATCAAACTAATTGAGTCCTTCAGGCTTGTTTGAAACCTACAGGTAAGTGTGTTAAATTGGAACTAAACTGTGGAGGGCTACGGCCCTCCAGGAACTGAGTTTGACACTCCTGCTCTTTTAAAAGCTCTGCAGAATGCAATAATGTCGTGATTTAGCTGAATTGAATCCGATGTTTATTCAGTTTAGTTCATAAAAAATGAGTGTTCATTTTATAAATGAAGTCAGCAGCTCTACAAAATCTAGCTTGATTTTCATCAGTAGAATATAAAAAGATTAATAGAATATTTAAAGAATATTTAATTTCTATTTGCACATGCATGCATCAATTAATTACAGCTGTTTATTTGTTTATTTATTTATTTATTACCTAATATTTGTTAATGTAATGACTCTAATTGGCAGTTTAAGCACCAGTGATGTGGCGAGTCTCTGCTCGTCTCTCCGGCTCTTCAGCTTTGAGGAAAAACTTGTGTAAGGCTCTTTTCTGACATTTCTAATTCCTTTGTGTGTTATTTATGTATGACCAGCAAACAGTAACAGTATTGAACACGTCAGCATTTTCACAAGGAAAATATTTCTAAAGGTGCCGTTGACTTGAAATTTACCCCGGATGTTGGTAGCAACCAAAGAAATTTATATATGCAAAGAAAACTATACTCATTTTAACTAAAATTATAAAACTAAAACTGTACTAAAATTAAGTTATGTGTATTAAAATGAAATGACACGGAAAAAAAAAAGTATTGAACACATGAAGAAAGGGAGGTGTAGAAAGGCAGTGAAAGCCCAGACAGCAGCTGAAATCTCTATCTCTCAGTAGTCTTTCAGCAACCCTCTTCCCTTACTTTATTGTAAATTCATATTAGTTGCTTCAGTCTAACATCTACATTATCAGGATGATGAAGATGAAACAAGAGTGGACATTTCAGCAAGATAATGATTGAAAACACAGCCAAGGAAGCTCTCAAATGCTTTCAGAGAAGGAAAATCAAGGTGTAGAATGGCCCTGACTTCAATCCAATATAGAATACAAATTAAAGATCAGATTTGATAAACAAGATCAACAGAGCCATCAAGATTCTTACCCTCAGTTGAAGTCTGTGAAAAATTCACAGCTGAGCAATGCATGCGACTTCATTCTCCGTTTGAGAGATGTCTTTAAGTTGCCATCAGCAAAAAAACGTTTATGTAAATGATTAAATACGTTTCAGTAGTTCAGCACTTTCTCCTTCTGTCATTCTATTGGTATTACACAGAACAATAGAATGACATAAATCTGATTTATATCAGATTTGTTTTGTTTTGTTTTATTTTTATGTTTGTATTGTTTGGGGTTTTTACCAAAATCATGTTCAATTCCATGTCAACAGCTCCTATAGAAATATTATTCCCAGGGAAAGACATGACGTGTTGAAAAATGTTTCCCCCCACTGTACATGGCATTACATTACAGATTTTTCTCCAGCTACTTTATATAGTTTAGGAAATAAATGTGTTGACTTGTTTTTGTGTGTTAACAGGGTGAATGTGGTGAGGTTATGTTCAAGCATACAGAATCAGCCGTCGCTGTCAGAAATCATCCTCAATTGTCCACGTTCAGAGGCATCTAACATTGATATCAAGAGCTTCACAGAGTCGTTCCACAATGTTAACTGTATAGCTGAAGAGTATGTGTGTTAAAACCACCATTATTTTCATATTATGCTTTTTGTGCTCAGCAATTACACTTTCTCCCAATCCTTCTCTCTCTCTCTATCTGTAGAAGTGCAGATTTTGACAGGAATGTCAATGCTCTGCTGACTCTTTTGACGTCAATGTCTGGATTAAGTGCATTAAATCTGTCTGTTCCTTTCTTGACGGAGACCTGGGCTTCCAGAGTCCTCTTCCTCGTCGAGTCTTCCCCTAAACTGACAGTGATTAAGTAAGAGTTAAGCCCCGAAAAATCCTAGTTTTCTTTTTTTAATCACTGACTTTTGTCTTCTGACTCTTACAATAGTATCTGTTTTGTAGTTTTCATGCTGGCTCATGGTGCTCAGATGGGGTGAAATGGCTCCCGGGTCTCTTATTGGAGGAGGGAATCAAGTTGCTGAAGGAATCTGCAAAACGTCCAGAGTGCATTGTGAACATTAGAGGGTTTGTTATTTACACATCGACACATCGGTTTAAGGGTTATACATATTCTTCTAGTGTTAAAGGGCACATAGTTTATCCCTTTTTGATGATTTAATATTAGTATGGTTCTTCTGAGTGTGCCAGTTTAGGTTCAGTTCAACACACAGTTCAGATGTTTTCATTATATGCATTTTTAAAAATAAATGCAGATAATAAGACCATGAAAGTGATTTTTGACCTTGCATGCATATTAGACTGTTGTTGGAGACCCTTAAAATCAAAATATGACCCTATTTCATGTATATTAGGGGCTCTTTAAAACATTTAATTTCCATTAGCTTTAAAATAGGTTACATCAAATTAGAAATGACAATCTCTGTTAAAGGCATTCACTTCAACCTTCCCCATCATTCTCGCTCTCTTTTCAGATGGCATGTGGGCCAAATCAAAGGTTACCATGGTCCAACATTTCACTGGTCACAATTAGGTTCTATATTCATTCATTTATTCATTTTCCTTTGGTTAGTCACTTTATTAAACAGGGCTCACCACAGTGGAATGAACCACCAGCTTATCCAGCATATGTTTTACATGGCGGATGCTCTTCCAGCTGCAACCCAGTACTGGGAAACACACACACACACACTCATTCACACACATACACTACGTCCTATTTGGTTTATTCAATTCACCTTTAGCGCATGTCTTTAGACTGTGAGGTAAACCGGAGCACCCAGAGGAAGCCCAGGCCAACACGATGAGAACATGCAAACTTACACACAGAAATTCCTACTGGCCCAGCCGGGACTCAAAACAGTGCTGTGAAGCGACAGTGCTACCCACTGAGCCACCGTGTCATTCAGGTTTTATATTTGTTTTAAATTTAGCTAGTGTCAATCTGTCATTTCTAACAGTGCCGTTTGATTCCACTAGGTGGCAGAAAATAGAAGAAAAAATATGTTTAGAAATTAAATTCAAAGCGAAAGATAAGACTAGCATGTAAATGTGTGGGGAAAAGGTTTTTTTAGAGCCTACATTTTTGGATTCTGCAAAAATGACCAAACCTATGTTTTAAAGCCACATAATCTTACATATGTTGGTGTAAATGAGTAAAAATGGTCACATTTTGCAGAAAAAAGTGGAATACTGCATATTATTATTATTAAGATGATTATTTTTCAATATACACAAAACTGATTTATTTTTTGAGAGGGTTTTGATCTGGGAATGGACTAAAAACATGATTTACATGTCTGTGGAGAACTGAGAACATTCACTTTGTCAACACTGGATGATTTACAGTGTGTGTTTACATCATCATGCTCTGAATGTAAATCATGCTAATATATTTATCCAAATGAACATTGTATGACTGAAGGGCACGTTTCGATCTGCAGAGCTGAAGTGGTAAATGTAATCCACAATCAGTGTCTTAAAATAAAATGGCTGTATTAATAGTTAAATAAATAAACTTATTTACTCACCCGCCACTTGTTCAGTACCTATTTGCGTTTCTTCTGTTGAACACAAAAGAGGATATTTTGAAAAATGCTGGTAGTTGGCACACATTGACTTTCGTAGTCATTTATTTTCCTACTATGGAAGTTGATGGGTGCTAGCTGTCAGCATTTTTCAAAATATCTTCTTTTGTGTTCAACAGAAGAAAGAAACTCATGAACACATGAGGGAAAATAAATGATAAGGTAATTTAGATTTTTTTGAGTGAACTGTCCCTTTAAATGTGTGCTGCGGTTCTCTGTAAAGGTTCAGATGCAGTAAATCCTCTGAGCGCTGCTCTCGACACACAGAGCAAATCGACCAGCTCAGCTGCAACCAGAGAGTCACCATTCAGTTCTGTGGAGACCAATGTACAGAAGACATAAAGTGAGTTCTTACATTTCAAGGACTTGTTGAGGCTTTGTAGGTTTTCGCTCACATTTTCCTGATCCTCCACAGATTGAAACTGGTTCTGCCTGATGAAAACTGAAGCTGTTAAAGTGGTCCGTTTCTGATTCTGGCAGCTGGAGAAATAACTCACACTGTGTCTTCAGAGTACCATCCTCCTCGAGGTGCCTTAAAGGGATAGTTCACCCACACTGTAAATAATTCAGGGTTCCACTCAATTCATTCAGGTTTTCCCCACACAAAGTAAACAAAAATCTAAATGGATTGAACAAAATTAAGTTGTAGCAAAAAAATCTCAAGAATTGTGTTGTTTGACCTCATTTTAAGTTGTTTGAACAGCAGAAAAATCTCATTTTTTGAGTGCAAAAATGAAACTTTTCTAACTATTTACTCACCTTTCTTTATTCTGGTAAACACAAAGGAAGATATTTTGAACTAAGCTGAAAACCTGGAGTTAAAGGTTACTTATACAATACCTGACAAACGTTTTGTCATTTTTGTAACATAATTCAAGAGTTCCCACTTAGATAAGCTTGGCGGTTATAGCAGGTTTGACATGCTGTCCCTGGAGAGAACCCTGAGCTCGAAAATACTTGAGCCCAAGGCTTCCGCCCGATCAATAAGCATAAAAGGGGATATGAGATCAGGTAGGTCTCGAGAGCTCCCCTTTAGAAAAAGGAGGAAAAGGAGATGGGGTGGAAGGGGGGATTGCTTTAAAACGAAGTTAGAGTAGTTGGGAGAAAACGATCCATTTATAGTCAGCTTGCATCACTCTGATTGGATTATTACTGATTACAGATGAGATGCCAGTCGTGCTCAATCATATCACAAGCTCCTCTCGAAATTAGTTTGTGAAACTTTATGTTGTAAGAGTAACAAATAATAACTTGACTTCTAGTTGATCATTTGGAAAAGTGACAGAAGGTAGATTTGTCTGATGAATCATCAGTTGAACTGCATCCCAATCATTACAAGACCTAGTGGAACCTGCATGGACCCAAGATTCTCACTAAAATCATTCAAGTTTGGTGAAGGAAAAATCGTGGTTTGGGGTTACATTCAGTATGGAGCGTGCTAGAGATCTGCAGAGTGGACTGCAACATCAATGGCCTGACGTACCAAGACATTTGTGCTGCCCATTACATTACAAACCACAGGAGAGGGCAAGTTCTTCAGCAGATAGCGCACCTCCTCATACTTCAGCCTCCACATCAAAGTTTCTGAAAGCAAAGAAAGTCAAGCTGCTCCAGGATTGGCCAGCCCAGTCTCCAGACATGAACATTATTGAGCATGTCTGGGGTAAGATAAAGGAGGAGGCAATGAAGATTAATCCAAAGAATCTTGATGAACTCTGGGAGTCCTGCAAGAACGCAGGCCATTGCCATTCCAGTTGACTTTATTAATCAGTTATTAGAGTCATTACAGAGATGTATGGATGCAGTCCTCCAAGCTCATGGGAGTCAGACACAATATTAATTCTTTTTCCACTGCAGCATGACTTTATGTTCTATACTGAACATTATTTCTGTTAGGTGACAAGACTTTTGATCATATTTTATTTTGGTAAAATAAGCATAATCTAGAGGCCTTTGCCTTTCATATTAGCCACTTCTGATACCAAATGATCAACTAGAATTCATGTTATTATATGTTGTTCCTAAAACTTTGAAAGACTTTTGTCAGGTAGTGTAGGTTATCTTATTGCTTTGGTTACTTATAATCAATTCATAAAAGCCAATCAATAAAGAAATTAAGTCAGTAATAAATTGAGCAAATATTTTTGTTTGTTATACAATCATATTTTGCAGGATAATTCTGTTTTTCAACTAAAGTTGTTACATTTGTCATGTTGATAAATTAAAACCATGAACTGAGTGAACAGTTGTTGACTGTATGGTAAGAATGAAATATGGTATGTTTGCGTTTCAAACAAATATTTAACTTTTCTTAATTATTAGATTTTTAAAATGCAGCTAAAGGCCCTATTTTGACTCAAATTTATAGAATTTAAAGAGTTTTTTTCCCTTCATGAGAGATTTATAGGGATTTTAGGTTGTATCAACTTATGTCATTTAATTACTTTTGAGTAATTCAATTACTTTTCAGGCAAAGTAATTAGAGAAGAAATGTGATTACAGTTTCAACTATGTAATTAGTAATTAATGATTAATTTACTGTTTAAAGTTGCTCTCTAAAGTGGTCAAGTTTATTTCCACAGCACTTTATATTGGTGATTGTTTAAAAGCATCTTTACAGTTTAAAAGATGAAACTAGTGTTCATATTAGGCAACTTTCCTTTTTGACTTTGATAAAACTGTTCAATCTCATTTCTTTTGTTCAGTGCGCCTGGGTCAGACGTCAGTAAAGAAAACAAAGGCAGAAAGGCATTTTAAACTCCCAAACCAAACTCTAAATGAGTTGTTTTTGCTCAAAATGTCATCACACCACTTTCAAGTATTTAAAGATACAGGTATAAATTTGACAGGTATTTGTTGTGTACTATGAAGACAGATGGAAACTGTCTTCAGTGACTATCTTTGAAGTTTGTAAAATGTTCTGTTATTGTAATACGTGTTTAAAATCACCAAATGCATTAAAAGTACACCAATATCAAATCTACTTTGGCTATGTGAAACACTGTAAAAATGTCCACATATTTTCCCAACACAAATCGATATGGTTAGCATAAATGTTTTTAAATAAATGTTAAGTTGTCCCAAAAAATTTCAAGAATTGTGTTGATTCAGTTAATTTTAAAGGTGCAGTAGGAGGTTGTCTTCAGAAGCAGTTTTTGTTGTGCTGGTTAAAAGTTTCTTCACATTCCAATAGTACTGATTAAAGTAAATGATCTAAATGTATTTATATGTATTTTTATATTCTGGGAAAGACATAAGACTAAAAAATGTTCATCCAATTAAATATTGTCGGACCGAGATTGATGTGACTATTATTAGTTTTATAAGGGACGTTTGTCAGCATCGATAATGTAGATTTTATTTTGATTAACAACAAAACATAAGTAATTATGAGCGCTGTTTCCACCTAGCCTGCTTTACTGAGGTCAAGTTGGATATATATTTACATTGGTTCATTTTTGAACAATGACCGATTGTGACGTTCTCCTTATATTGTTTACCATACTACTCTGAATATTCGCTCTGAAATAGCATGTAAGTATGGCTCAGTAATAAGTGCAATTCCTCCACCCTGTTGGCTGGAACCCAGCATACAGTAGTTGCTTTAGGACAAAGCACGAGAGAAAGTAAGACCAGCGACTCTTATATGCATGAAATATTGCACAATATGACAAGTGTTGCTTGCTACACAGCTGAAAATGTGCTAGATATAATACAGTTTTTTGTTGGGAGTTGTAATATTATAAAGTACTATAAAGTGTTCTAACCGGCGAATCACATGATTTAGTAGTGGGTTGTCTACTGTCCTCTTTATGGTGCATGTTCATGATATCAGGCAGCGGGGCTTTGGACGGCAGGAGAGGGACTGTGTTTTCAAAGATATTATGCTAAACAGTTAGCATTTTGGCAGATCACCTGCACATTTAAACAAGTAGTTTGAACAAGCAGCAAAAATATTTTTTTGATTAAACAACAGGAACAGAAACATTTGAACCATTGATCATTCATCCCATTACTGTACAAACATTACTTGTAATAGCAAATACTAATAATAAACTTTCATTATATCAAATAATTCACAGACTGGCAGGCTGTAGTTCATTACTGCCACTCTAATGGCATTACTGCCACTCTCATTACTGCCACTCTAATTCCACTGAGTGTCAAAAGATACATATAACTAAACCCATTGTTCTAACAAATCAGTTAGCATTAAAGTGTACCTAACGATTTTACACCTTATTAAAGATACAAGAGAAGTCTTTTGTGTCTCTAGAACACAGGTGTCAAACTCAGTTCCAAAAGGGCCGCAGCTCTGCACAGTTTAGTTCCAACCCTAATTAAACACACCTGATCAAACTAATTGAGTCCTTCAGGCTTGTTTGAAACCTACAGGTAAGTGTGTTGGAGCAGGGTTGGAACTAAACTGTGCAGGGCTTCGGCCCTCCAGGAATTAAGTTGGACACCCCTGCTCTAGAATGTCTGTAAAATTTAATCTTAAAACACCCATCAGATTACGAATTAAACCTTTCAGAATATTTTGTATTTTTGCTCTGAACACGATGTAGCTGTTTAATGCTGGTTCTCCCTGCCCACCATGCACATGCCTGTCAGAGTGTGTCTCAGCTCAGTCTCCACTTCTCCAGCATCAGATAAACAGCAAGTGACAGACATGAAGTAGATTTCACGTAACATTTGTGAGAAATACTATCCAGAAATACAGACGCACACACATTGCGCTTGTTTAACTTTGCACTTTTTTTGCTCGCAAATGTAACAGCATACACGTTAACATCCACTGCTGTATGGATATCAGTTATGTTAATGTACAAAATAAACCTGATTTAACGTCCATAAACCGGGATTGAAGCGTTTTCTTACTGACATGCGGCTGTGGTGATAAAGTCAAGACGGTAAAATCGTTGTAATTTTTTACAAACATGTCTTGTTTTGAAAATGTTTTAAACTTGTAAAACTCATTCTTGATCACATTTGATGATGATTGATGATCACAGAGAGCTGAACAGATCTTTTAATCCCAGTTGCTTCGCGCACGTCACGTCTTGTTAATATGATTATACGCATTACTACGGAGACAAGCCCGGATTGGCTAATCGGGAGGACCGGGAGAATTCCCGGTGGGCCGGTCCGTTTTTTAGCCGTGAGGGCCGGTGTCCCTAGCTCCAGAATCTGTTGCTCTCAGCAGTCATACTTTTTAAATTAATTTATTTATTTACTTGACCACAGTCTTCTTATTCATTATTTTACCGCAGCTCTGCTCTTTTTATATATAACCAGCCTGCAGGTTAATGATGATATAACTCAGATGAGTCACTTCTCAATATACAACTGTTGTGGTCCAGTGGTTAGCATGTTAGATTACGACGCTGCCGACCTGGGTTTGATCCTCGTCTGAGTATGTTATTATAATATTTTTTTTCATTTTTATTGTTAAGACATATAATACTGTCAGGGTTGTTGAATATTTGAAGTTCTAAAGCAGCTATTTAAAAAAAAAAAAGACGTGATAGTGTAATTAGAAACTGAATTGGAAATGACCTTATTTTAATATAGTCATTCGTGAACTGAGGTGGGCCGGTCTGAAGCTTGAAACTCCAGGGCTGAAAAGAGTCCCACTCCGGCCCTGTACGGAGACATGTTAATACGTGGCTGTCAGTCAGTTCAGTTGGCGGGAAAACCGCAGTCCTATGTCACGTTGTGGTGGGCCTCAAAAATAGCAATAGCATCTGGATGCAGCTTTTATGATGCAAGCTGAGATTGCATCACTCAGCGATGCAATGTCAGACACAATGCACTCAAATGGAGCGAGTGACTTCACTGTGATGGGTAGGGTTAGGGGTGGGGTTAGGTGAGCCCATTAAAAAGCATTGGATGCAGCTCAGATTGCACTGCACCAGGTCTGCATCCAGACCCCTCTCAAAATAGGAGGGAATTGGATTCTATTTTAACATCAGGAAATTAAAAAAAGAGTTACTGTCTTAATATCACCGCAATATGACTGTGGACACACCATACCTACACAGAGTTCTGTCCAAACAGCTTATAAAAGATGATTTTCGTCATAGGTGCCTTTTAATAATGTAAAGTTACCATAATAAAATCGGATTGAAATATTGAATATTAGCAAGGCCTTATTCAAGAAATGTAACTCTATATAAACTAATGAAATTATGTGCAAGACTGTGTTGTTAATGCATTTGAAGGAATTAGCTTAGCTTGTGAGAACAGAGTTGGTTGTTGCTTCTCAGTTAAAAGGTCAATTTATTATTCAAAAATTCTTATGCATGAACTTGTTTATCTTGTAACAATAGGCCTACTTTCAGGCAGACATAAAAAAGATTGTGTACATGCGTACATGATATGCAGCTGTAGGGTGTGTACTTCCAGGTCAACTAGTTTCACTACAAACAGGATTTGCGTTGCTGTCTGCCTGAACAAAAACAAGAGTAAAGGACAAACATTCAGTGCAGTAAACAGACAGAAGAAATGGCAAGTGAATCAGGTAAGCTTTTTAACTTGTCTGTACAGTCTACGAAATATTCAGTGCTTTGTTAAAATCACAGAAACACTAATGAAACCTCTGAATATCACATTAGTGTATTTTCTTAGTAGCACTAACATTGATGCCTCAGAGCATTTGTTTTGCCCCATCACTCTATTGTTAGACTAATTTAATATTTCATAGCTTTATACAGAAATAAGGAGACGATCACACCACAGGATAGTAAATATATCATGATTTCTGCATTTCTTTCCTTTAATCCTTGTGCACTGTTCAGATGTACTACCCTTTTGTTATGTTTGGTATGAAAACATCCACTGAATTAAACTTGTGTAAAAATGCATCAGATCATTTATTATTTTTTTTATTTGTTTGCATAAATCTGTTAATAAACCTCAATCAGAAAGTTGCTGGATTTTAACTCTTTAATTGCCAAATTCATAAATGATTTCACTGATTTGGTGAAAAAAAAACACACACACAAAATGTCGAATTTTCAATAAAAAAGGTACTTGTGACCTGGATTTTTTTAACTTGTATCACAGTCTTGTACATGTGAATGAATAGTAACATTGGCTTTGATGTATTGTTAGACTTTCATTTTTTTCTCACCCTGATTTACTGTTGGTGGCTGTTTTTGCTCCATTGGCTTCAATTATCACCACATTTGATGGTGCATAAATACACAGTCTTTGTTTTTGTTTACTCCATGTAGTTCTGAGAGCTTAAATGCATATTTACTCAAATTTAGTGGTTTGTTATTAGTAATAATTAACTATTATTGATAAAAACACATTTAAATGAACTAATATGAGTTGTTATTGTATTAAATAAATGTTTCCTTTGTTACTAGATTTTAGCAGAAACCGAGACAAGTCTGGATCCTGCGCTGGACTAAACGTCAGCGTTGCAGCTCAAAGTCGAAGCAATATTACAGCACCTGTACTCAGTAACAATACAATAACAGGCAACGTCCACATCATACATAATGCACCTGGTAAGAATAATAAATACAATATTTGCAATGGTAATATTTACTCAGATATAAACTAACCCAGCAAAACAATTTTGTGTTTAATAGACATCTAATAGACATCTAAATGTAGACAGCTCGTCTAAAACAAGGCTAAACTTGGACTGTCAGTGAAAATCTCATAGACATCTAAGAATAGCCCAAAACTAGACTAGTCATCAAATAAACAGATTATTATATGTGTAGTCTTTCATTTCTGTTCATTAGATAATTCTTAAACATCTATTAGATTTTCACTGACAGCCCAAATTTAGCCTTGTTTTGGCCAAGACGACTATGTTTAGACATCTATTAGACATCTATTAAAAACAAAAAATGCTGGCTGGGAATTATTCATATGACTGCTGCAAATGATCATTTTTCTGTAAACTAATATTGAGCAACTTTCACAGCAAGTTTGTCTAATGCTCCGCAGGTTTATCTTGGCATCACCTGGATTCTGATAGAAGACCAACCTCAGGTAATCTGCTCTAATTTAAAGTGAGATTTTCAAAACTTGTGAATCAAGTGATCATATTTGTTTTATTTTTGCAGAGACCAGAGTGTTGATTTCCAAACATAAGGCTCGGATCTGCAGTGAATACCAGTATGTGACCGAGTATAACTCCCTGCCTGGTGAACATGTGCTGCTGTCTGAACGCTTCACTCAGCCTCTGATCATTCAGAGACACAGAGATCAACAAGAGAGAGAAGAAGAGATCCGCTCCGGTGGAGAAAACCTCCAGCAGGTCCTCAGCTCCAGAAGCAGTCAAGACGCCGACAATCTGAACTCTCTGTTCAACCCTGATGGCCACGGGATCCGTCCTAGTGCTGTTATACTGCAGGGAAATTCAGGCAATGGAAAATCCTTCGCTGTGCAGAAGATCATGCTGGACTGGGCATCTGATAAACTCTACAAAGAGCGCTTTGATGTTGTTTTCCACCTTAAATGTAAGGATATAAATCACATTCCTGGCACAAAGAGTTTGGCGGAGATCTTGAGCTACAGCTGCAGTTTAACATCAGATGAGATTTCACAAATATTACTACAGCATTCACTAGAGAAGGTGCTTTTCATTGTTGATGGATTTGATGAGTTGAGAATCACGCAGGACTTCTGTCTTATGCCCCCGAACACTGATCTGCGTCATGAAGGCCCAGCTGAGTTCAGACTCCGTGCCCTGCTGAAGGGTTACATCTTACCCGAATCCTCTTTACTGGTCACCACCAGATCTACAGCTGCGGACACACTGACTAACCTGCTCAAGTTTCCGCAGAGGTTCTCAGAGATCATGGGTTTCTCTGAAAAGGGGGTGAAGGAGTATTTCCAGAAGTTCTTCCAGGATGAGGAACTCTTCATAAAGGCTTATGAATATGTGAGATCAAACGAAACCCTGATCACCGCCTGCTCCATCCCTGTCATCTGCTGGATCATCTGCACAGTCCTGCGAGAGCGCTTCAGTAAGGGTTCAGATTTAACAAGCGGTCTGGAAACCACCACCTCCATCTATGTTGACTTTGTGTGCACTTTACTGGAGCATCACAGCCAGGGTTTGAGTCAGCCTGTGCCGACTCTCCTGAGGAGTCTGGGTCAGCTGGCTGAGAGAGGGATGCTGGACACACAAGTGCTGTTTGAAGAGAAAAGTGTGAATGAAATGGTATCAGACCCTGCTGGCAATCCATTTCTTTGTAAGCTTCTCTTTAAGAGAAGGATTCACCAGGAGACAATGTTCAGCTTCATGCATCTCAGCTTTCAGGAGTTCTTCACCGCTCTTTACTGTGTGCTTCTGGATGAAAAACCATTTCAGAAGAAACTTACACAGCTCAAAGATCTCAAATCCATTTATTCTCCACCACGTTATGCAGCGGTGCTTCAGTTCATCTGTGGTCTGCTAAACAAAGATGTGGGACGAGCACTTAATAGGAAAAACGTTTTTATTCATCCAAAAATACAGGAATATCTGAAGAAATGGATCTTAGAAGACATTAGAAGTTCTTCTAGTGCAAGAGCTCTGTTTGTGTTTAACTGTCTCTATGAGCTCCATGAAGACAGCTTTGTGAAAGTAGTCATGGAGCAAACGGAGAAGATTGACCTGTATGCTATAGTTCTCAGGAAAACAGACCTCTGGGCCCTGCTGTACTGTTGTCAGTGCTGTCAGTGCCTGAATGAACTGCAAATGGGTGAAGCTGAACTAACATCTAAAAAGCTGTACATGATTCTGCCTATAATGCCCAAGTTTAAGTCAGTGAGGCAAGTACTTATCACAATATCTTTAAATATGTCTTTCTATTATGTTGTCATATTTGACATTTTCTGTGTCATTTGATGAATTAATAATATTTATAAGATGTTTTAAAGGGCATCTCTGATGAAAATCAACGTTTGTAAGCTGTTTGGACAGAACTGTGTGTAGGTATAGTGTAGACACGGTCATATCGGAGTGATATAAAGACAAAAAGTCCCTTTTTTTATTTCCTGATTAAAGGTAGGATTACGGTTTCCATATCCACCGAATTGATGGACAGACTTGTTTTAACATGTCTCTGTAGTTACGTGTATAATCATACCAACAAGACAGGATGTGCGCAAAGCAACTGGGATTAAAAGATCTGTTCAGCTCACTGTGATCAGCAGCACCTCAACAATGAGTTTTACAAGTTTGAAAAGTTTTTAAAACAGTGCATGTTTGAAATAAATACAGTAAAATCACTACAATTCATCTCCACACTTGCATGTCAGTACAATTATAAAAGAAGAAGCTTCAATCCTGGTTTGTGGACGTTAAATCAGTTGTTTTTTTTTTGTTAAATTAACATAACGAATGTCCATACAACAGTGGATATCAACGTGTATCCTGTCAGGTTTGCCTTGCAAAAACTGCAAAACTAAACATGTGTGTGTATGTGTGTGTCTGCGCGTAAACTTTATTTCAAGAGTTCACACTTAGCTGATGATTTATTATAAAGCTTGTTTGGCATGCTGTCCCAGGAGAGAGCCTTGTGCTCATAAAATCCTTGAGCCCGGGGGTCCCTCTCATTTGCAAGGCGAGAGGGGAGTTTGAGCTCAGGTAGATCTCGAGAACTCCCCTGCAGTATTAGCTAATAAACAGATATTAATTGCTTTTAAGAGATGGAACAAGGAGGAGTAGGGGTGGAAGGGGGGATTCTTCAAAACAAAGATGGCTGTTATATGGAACGTAGGGTATTTTATAGTGGCTTAGGAATCGTCTGATTGGTGAATCATAAATTGAATAATGTGGGACCAGCTGCAAGCAATTATAAGCATGTGATCCTCTTGAAATTAGTTTTTAAATAAACTTCCGAACGAGATTATGTGTGACTCATCGTTGCAGAAAGGCTTGAATTAACTCTACAACAAATATATTAACCCTCTACTGCATGGTGTAACCATATGGCAACATGATACTTATGTTAATTTCCCTGCCACCATTTCTTTACGACCATTACATTTTTTGTTGTTGGAAAGAGAAGACGTTAGTGTATCGAATGATGTGCTTTAATTAGGTCACATGATATGCTGTGCTTTTCTGTGACGCGATTTCTGACAGACTGGTGTTTATTGTGAGTAGTTGCTGAATGCAAATGTAAATGTCAATAAAAACAAAAGAACAAATGATGTCAGATCCACAAAAAAAAAAAAATCTGAAACATCACCTCCAGTAAGTTATGATGACATTTTTTTTTTTTTAATCAAATTAGTTTTTTTTAAATCGATCAAATGTGTGTGTGCAGTGTGCAATAGAGGAACATGCAATATTACAATGGGTTAGCTAGCTAGCAAGCAAGGTCAGCTGTGAACTTTTAAGTTGTAACAATAACAACATGAAAGCTAGTATTATAATGTTAATTATGTAAGGTCCAGCCAGTTAGTCCAATGACGGTGTCTACTGGTTGACGAAGGTTCACTGTATGTTCGGTTTTACCAGTGCACAATGTTGATTTACTTTAAACTTAACTCATATCTGATTCCAATTTTAGTATGAGGTGGTTTAGAATATTTATATATTTATCCTCGTTTTACCTGACTCCATTTATAAAACATTGACAAGATTATAATGTTTCTTTTAACATTACTTTAGATCAGGGGTTCCCAAACTTTTCAGCCAGTGACCCCCAAAATAACAATGCCAGTGACTTGCGACCCCCAATATCCCCTGAGGTGGTTATAAATACAGAAAACTTGCATGCAAATGCGCGCACACACTAATAGACCCAAGTCTATTCTTCGTTTATTTATGTGTGTAAGTGCTGTAAATGTGCCGGAAAGTTTAACCTGGTATTATAAAATCATTCTGCTGCATCTGACACTATTGCTAAGTCTTTAATATAATGATTACCCCAGGGGTCGCAATCCAATATAACTAGTAACTATGAGCTACTATAGTAACTATATAGTAGCTATAAACAACTATTTTTTTTCAGTAGGTTATGGATAAAATATGGTAATTCTTATGGCTTCATTGTCCCACGACCCATTGGGGGGTCCCGACCCCCACTTTGAGAACCACTGCTTTAGATTATGTTTGAATATTCTCTCAGATTCATTATTGTATGTTATTCTCGTTCATCTGGATTCCTATAACATCCTGAGGCTTGTACTGGCAGAGTATACAATCTCTTAAGCACAAGCATGTCAGTCTTGGTCACTAAACAGTGGCGATTGACCGCTATCCTAAAAAGGCAGAACCCTACTTACTCAGATTAGGATATTTTTTATGCAGTCCCCATAGAGCTGCTATATACTAAATCAAACAGAGCTATTTAGTCAAATAATGATCATTATTATATAATTAAGCTGACCAGTCATAATTAAATAGCATTTTATGTTTAAAAGATAAAGGTCTGTCCCCTTAGATAACCTTTTACAGTCTAAGTATAAATGAATTAATGCCAGTGTGTTAGTCGGAGCTCTAAGAATCTACTATTGGCCGTTGTTGCCATATGGCAACATATCATAAAATATCTCAGGATAAATGTCTCCCTTTTTTTTACAGCACTTTAAGTTAAGCCATTTTAAGAAAAGATAAACTGTCAAATATACTTTTAATAGATTTATTATAATGCGTGCGGTGGAGGGTAAAATAACAACTGGGATAATTCTTTCCGTAGTAAGGGAGATCTGCTTCATTCTTGTCTGTCACTGTGCTGTTTATCTACATGAAGGCTACATGCATGTGGGCACAGTAGACAAGGAGACGCAGCTCTTTGCATTAAAGGCACATGCAACAAAAACAGCTACAGTGTCCAAACAGCTCAAATTTCCCAGATTTATAAAGGTCTAATAAATAATCTGATGGGTGTTAGAGCTAAAACTTTACAGACACATTCTAGAGACACAAAAGACTTTAATTAACAATGTTTCATTACATTACAGTTTAAAACTGCTGTACTTTAGTAGCTAAAATAATGAATTTTGTTCATTGTTTGTCTTCAAATGTTTGCTTTTACTAGTAGAATGTTCATACAACCTTTCTTTGTTTGTCTTTTAAGGTTGTTTCCAGTAGATCTGGATAATTTCATTCTTGCTGATTTGATGTGTGTCCTTACGAGAAGACAGACCCTGAGCTCACAGAGGTAATATATATTTATAACACTGCTATAACAGCCACGTATGCATCACCACATTTCATTAAGATGTTGTGAATCTATAACTTGTTTCTTTCTGTATTTTCAGTGTTTACGTCTACAGCTATTCTGGTGGTAACCCAGCGAATACACTCTATTTGACAATTAGCAAAGAAGAGTTCTGGTGAATAAACGCCACAGCCAAATCATTTCTGATGTTCATCAAACATTCATAACAGCTGATAACCAGTCACAAGAGTTACTATTCAGTTATCATATTAATACCACAGCTTAGCATGCCCTGCTATTTAAGTCTTGCAAAAAAACGAAGGGACTGATGTATTCAGTATTCAAATGCAGAATCCAGATTCAGGAGTACTTTAAATACACAAGTCATTTTGTAATGTCATTGTTATTATTGTGGACAGATTCATGCTGGCAGAATGATCAAGATCCTAGTTGTAGCGTTCTTTGCGTTAGATTTATTAATCAACAGTTTTGTTTACTGTCATTTCCCTGCAATTCTGGCCAATAGACTGCAAAATCCCCATTAAACCTATAAAATATACACCCAAAAGCTTAAATTGCAAACTGATGCAAGCGTCTTATTTACTGTTTCAATAATAGGTTTTCAATAAGCACAATGCTGGGCCTGGAGGACCACAAAGAGCTGCATTCTTTTAGTCTCACTTTTCAACACTTTAATGCACTAATCCACTTTGACTGGAGAAACATCTTTCAAATAGTCTACCGAGGGAATGTGGATGTCCTGATGACTGCCCTTCATTTACTGTCTGGACTGCAGAAAATGGAGCTGCGTTTGGGAAACATGACTAAGCGATGGGCCAATCGTATCCTCTCTTTCAGCCAGACTTACACTGGCCTACAGGAAATGAGGTATGGAAAAAGCCATATAATCATCTTCCAATTACATTTGAAAAGTTTTACTTCAGACACACCGGCCACTTTATTAGGTACACCTTACTAGGACCCCCTTTTGGCTTCAGAACTGCCTTAATCCTTCGTGGCATAGATTTAACAAGGTACTGGAAATACTCCTCTGAGATTTTGCTCCATATTGACATGATAGCATCACACAGTTGATGCAGATTTGTCAGCTGCACATTCATGATGCCAATCTCCCGTTTCACCACATCCAAAAGGTGCTCTATTGGATTGAGATCTGGTGACTGTAGAGACCATTTGAGTGCAGTGAACTCATTGTCATGTTCAAGTCTGAGATGATTTGCGCTTTATGACATGGCACGATATCCTGCTGGAAGTAGCCATCAGAAGATGGGTACACTGTGGTCATAAAGGGATGGACTCAGGTAGGCTGTGGCATTGACACGATCAACTGGTGCTAATGGGCCCAAGGTGTGCCAAGAAATAAGCCTCACACCATTAGACATCAAATTCTGACCCTACTATTGGAATGTTGCAGCAGAACCAGTCTGGCCATTCTCCTCTGACCTCAACAACAAAACATTTGCGCCCACAGAACTGCCGCTCACTTGATGTTTTCTCTTTTTCAGACCATTCTTCTGTAAACCCTAGAGATAATTGTGTGTGAAAATCCCAGTAGACCTTCTGAAATACTCCATGGCATGTTTAAAGTCACTTAAATCCCCTTTCTCCCCCATTCTGTTGCTCAGTTTGAACTGCAGCTGATCGTCTTGACCATGTCTACATGCCTAAATGCATTGAGTTGAGGCCAGATGATTGGCTGATTAGAAATGTTTGTTAATGAGCAGTTGGCCAGGTGTACCTAATAAACTGGCCGGTGAGAACTTTATAATACACAATGTTTTTGACAAAATCAACAGTACGTTAATGTAAGTATGATTAAATTATTTCTGATTGTGTTAATATTGTGTAGCCAGACAACTTCAGCATGCCTTCTGAATTACAGAAACACTGTTACCATTTGCACCACATCCAGAAAGCAAAAGTGATTGTATTTTTACTAAATGTGTGTGTGTGTATATGTTAGTGTTCATGCTGAGATGTTACTGGAGGAAGGAATCAAAGTCCTACAGAAGTCTCGCTCAAATCCAGGTTGCACTGTGACATTTACAGGGTTTGTACTTTTTCAAAATCTCTATTTTTATACATTTAAATCTCTGAAATATGAAATATCAAGCAAATAAGATCATACATGAAAATACATGAAGTGATGTATTTATTCTAAACTGTGTGAGTGTACTCTCTTCAGTTATACAGAAACTGTTTTGTTTGTTTTGTTATGAAGGAAGATGCGCAATAAAGAGATCAAACACAGAGAGAGCATCAACCAGGTGAAATTCCGTCTGAGTGCCCGAGGATGTTTCATGGAGACTTTGTAAAGCTGGTAAGCTGTGTGACTAGTAAATGGATCTTGAGAATGATAAGTGGATAATGACAATCCTGGTGATTCCTCTCTCTCAAACCTTGCTTTTAAGGCTCTTGTTTTTTGGACTAATCTACTGAGCAGCAGCTGAACATTTTGTCTGACACCAGATGACCTCTCTGCTGTTATAATTGACGGAAGTCTGACTCAAAACTACAGGTGTTTTTTAAATCCTAACATCAACCTCATGAAGGAAACCTCAGCCTGAAGCTTCTGTAGTTTGAGCCTTTTGGAAAACACTTACATCTTGTTAAGGCAGAGCGTTCTCATTTATGGCTCCAAACTCTGGAACAGCCTTCCTGATAATGTCCTAGTCTCAGACACACTCTTGCAATTCCAAACTAGATCAAAGATCTATCATTGTAGTAAAGCATACATTCCCCACAGTCCAAACACATGCATTATAGGTGAATTGAACAAACTAAACTGGCCGTATAGTACGAGTTTCCCAGTACTGGGTTACAGCTGGATAAGTTGGCGGTTCATTCCACTGTGGTGACCCCTGATGAATAAAGGGGCTAAGCCAAATGAAAATGAGTGAATGAATAGGAACTTTATTTGTTTAACTAGTAAATAAAAGCTTTTAATTTATAATGGTACTAATAACTTTAACTTGTCTGAAATTGATTGAAATGCAATATTGTGCACATTTTGTAAAGCTGCTTTGAAACATTTTCAAAATTATGGTGAGAAACACTATACACAAACTTGAAGAATCGAGGCTATTAAAACACGAGTGTTGTCAGTCTATTCTGCTTTCAATGCAAATTTTTACAACATACGTGCACGCACACACACAAGATGCATTTTTTTAAACCTTTGTGTGCCTTTGATGTACCGTTTGATGCTTCTTACGTCCTTGTCGCAGCACCAGTGGCAACAAAATTAGGCACTGAAATTCATATGCCTTCAGTGACCCTGCTTGTGAGACTGTTCTCACTCAGCTCACATCATTCAAAACAAAAGAGCCACATTGTCCCCCGATAATGTCAACAGACTGGACTGTCTTAGCAACTGTCTGAATGTAAAGGAGGACTAAGCAAAATGGTTTGTACTTTATAATTATTGTTCTCAACTATCAGCAATACAACTACAATGAGTACAATTGTTTGTATTCAATACTTTATTATTATTATAATAATTTTAAATTTCTGCAATTCCTGTATTTTGGCATTTTTTTCTTTATTGGCATTGATTGTTTTGAAATTCAAATGTCATTAACATGCCTGTGTTTTAATTTCTGTAATAAATATGGCTGTCAAGCAGGATCTTGATGGTTTATTGAGGGTATGTTGTTTACATAAAAAATCTGTGTTACAAGTTAAACAAAAATTCTAATAAACAATTATATTTTGAATTTAAATAGTTTTTTGTCTTGCGTTTACATTAATTTTACTTTCGAATAGCCAAAATTACAAGTTTAAGTTTTTTAAATGTGATTAATCGCAAAAAAGTGTGATTTAATTAGTTATATTATTTAATCAATTGAATGTGCATATATATATATATATATATATATATATATATATATATATATATATATAAATATATATATATATATATATATATATATATATAT